GTCAAATGTTTCAATAATTATTTATATAAATATATAATGAATTGAAATATTAAAAATTAGACTATAATCTCAAAATAAAAAATATGTTTGATAAAAAATTTCATTGGTCAAACATATCATTCGAAAAATGAACCGGATGTTAAAAACAATAGAGTTACTAATTCTTAAGATTAACTGCATGAAACCAAAAAGACAATTAATTTAGTCTCTATATTCAATCAATAAAAAATAAAATAAAATAATGTCAAATTAGTACTCCGTATGTTGATTAAAATTACCAACTCATTAAAATAATAAATATACAACAGATGATTTATAAAAAATGTTATATTAGCTCGTGACATGCCAATATCATGTAAGCCAGAGTCTCAAATTTTATAATAAAAGGAAGGATTAGCCAATAAATGTCATTAGCAATTAAATGAAAGTTTTTTATAATTAACATTTATAACCTCCTAATAATAATTACTTTACATATACCTCGTAAACGTTTTTCATATGTGCAATAATTGGGAATGCATATTTGCTCTAATAAGATGTTTTCATACTTTAAGTTAAAATTGCCAAGTCACTTAAGTCATCAAATGTGGCTGATGATGTGTAAAAAAAATTGCCAAGTAGCCTGCACATGTCGAATTTCTAGGAGTTTAACTCCCAAATATTATATATAAAGGATTAAGAATAGATATGGGTAAATAGGTGGTTTTAATTGAAAAAACAAAGTGTTTTTTGGGACAAATTAAAAAAAGAGATGTTTTTTTGGAACAAAGAGAATATGCACTTAGGGCCTGTTTGGCGAGGAAAAAAGATATGAGTTTCAATTCCAAGATATGAAGTTTCAAAAATATATGTTTGGTGAACCTAAAAGGGAATTCAGATCAGAATTGAAATCTGGAGATTTGGGAATTCGGCACAAAGAGCGCTACTGCATATCCGATTAATTTGGCCGATATCAATCTTACGCCGGTATCTAGCTTTCAAAGCCCTCCTTCCCTTCTTCGGTTGTCTGCTTTTCTTTATTTTTCAGTTTTTTTCTTTTTTTTTCTTTTACCTTTTTTCTGCCATGTTAATTATAAAATGAGCATGCAATTTCTGGAATTGATTGCTCCAATATTATGCAATTCCTAATCTTGTCCTCTCTTTTCTCTATTCGTCTTTTTTTCACAGATTTTACAATTTTTTTTAAAATTATCAGCAGTTTTAATCTAAAATATTATCACTTCTTCATTTTTTGACCAATTTTATGGAAAATTATTGATCTTGGAGAAAACTTTGAAAATTGTTTCTTCGTGCATCGCACCTAAACCTTCAATTGAATCTTGTTTGAAGATTATTTCTAACAAATTTTTATGGCAAAAGAGTCGAAAAGTGCATCTTTTCCAAATTTGTTGTTTTCAACAAATTATTCTCTGTTTAACAAATTTATAAATTGTTCTACATTTAATTTTTCTTAACTCGTTTTATATTTTTTAACTCGTTCTATATATAACAAATTGTTCTTTGTTTAGCTTGTTTTGCATTTATTTTTTTACATTGGATTTCTCAATTGCTCACCAAACAGTTGTGTCTGTAATTTGATTTCATTTCTATTTTCTCCAAACACGTGCCTTTCAGATTTCAAAACTCATATCATTTCTTTCAGATTTCAGAACTCAAATCTTATCATATCCTCAAAACCCACCAAACGGGCCCTTAAGTTTTAGTACACTTTATGCATACTTTATGTAGTCTCTCTTCTCCAAAATAATATCCCACTTACTCTTCTGGGTGATAAATTTTATTTATTTATATATACTTTCGTTGACTATTTGAGAACATGTTTTGAAATATGTAATTTGTATTTTTATACGGAGTACTAAATTAAAAATAGAAAACTTTTAAAACACATTAGATTTCAAGTTACGAGTACTTATTTTGAGATAGAGGGGCATTATACACCATATGTATACCATGACTATATATTACGGAGTAATTTTGAAACTAAATCATGTCTCTTAATTAAAGACCCATTTACCCACGAGACTTAGAAAATACGGAGTATTAAGGATGAAACAACCGATAATACTACCCAGGGCCGTCTCCGAGAAATTATGGGCCCTGGACAACACCGAGAAAATCGGTCATCGTGTCATAATGAAGCAAAATCTATAAATTATATTTTTAATAATAAAAAATTACTCTGTACAATAGTAATAAGAATAATAAAAAGTCAAATGTGTAGTCTTATAAATCTATAATTACATACGTTAATAACTAGCCAGAGATTTCTGAAGTTTTTCAAGCATTTTTGAGATCCAATTGGTTGATATAGGACTTTGTACTTTTTAAATATGTAAATTTTATTTTTAATTCTACACTAATTTTTAAATAAAATGAATTATAAATAATTACAATCAAACATTATAAACAATAATAGATGATTTAAATTGAGACGAAAAATATATAAATAATTAAATAATAAATAAATATATGTAATACATTTACAAAAAAATGGGGCCCCATCTACTATTGGGCCCTGTCCAAGAGGCCATCTTGCCCTTGGCTTGAGCCGGCCCTGATGCTACCGAAACCTACCAGATATTGCACTTATAAAGTGGTACGCTTTCGGTATGCGTCCTGATAAAACTCCAAACCATAAGGAACTATTCCAGTTTGAAATAAAACAATACAATATCATCCAATGCTAAAATTATTTTTTCCAAAAAAACAAGCATCCATAATTCAAATATTGAAATGGAAACAAGTTTGTATAAAAATAAAGCACAACTTTATTTAAAAAATGCGCACAAACTTAAAGCATCACAATTGCAAACAAAACATAACCAATCTACATTTTAAAAAAGGAAAATTCTTCCATAAACCTAAAGTCCAAACTCATTTTATGGACCTTAGTATATATGTAGCAAAAAAGAAGTGAATGGTTTTCCAAAAAAGAAAAATCCACATAAAAACTCATTAAAAATGTGAGAAAGTTCACAATTTAAATATGGGACTTGAGAGTTGAGACAATGTAAGCACCACTCTTTTAAGAAACTATGATTTTATGAATTAATGAGTACAAATAATAAAAGAAATAATCATGAAAATAGTAGTAAATTTAATAAGAATAAAAATAACAAAGTTAAAGAATATTAAAATAAAAGAAAATGCAGTATGAAACACTCCGTATATGATCAGATGAATTATGAAATTGAAGAAGTTGGGATAGTTCGAATCGGGCAGAAGTGAGAGGGATTTTTGGAGATTAGAAGATATGAACTATCCCCTTTAGGAAGAGACTATCGCAAGTACACCTGTCAAAAAAGACCCGGACCCAATAACCGAAATCGAACAATCTAGAATCATATCCAAAACGACATGAAACCAAAAGAATCGAATTATAACCGAATATCCAAAATGATTCAAACTGAATCGAACCCGAACCAAATATGTTCATACCCGATTCCGATCTGGAACTAATTGAATCTAAACCGGCTAAACCCGTAACCAATTAGACTCAAAACTCACTAGACCTAAAACTGATTAAATTCAAAACAAGTTAAACTCAAATCCAGTCAAATCTAATACTCCCTCCGTCCCAAAAAGAATGAGACGGTTTGACTTTTTGGGAAATTAAGGCAGGGATATTTTGGTATTGACTTTCCAAAAATACTCTTGATGTGATGGGTAAAAGTAGGATGTGATAGATAGATTATTAGAAAAAAGGTATGATGTGATAGGTAGGGTAAGAAAAAGTAAGGGGTAAAAGTGGTTTTTTAATAGAAATGTAACGGACTTTACGGGACGCAGTTTTTTCTTAACGTAACAAACTTTTTGGGACGGAGGGAGTATATCATTAGTTGATGTCTTTCTAAGAAAAACATATTTGAAGTATAGGTACAACTACTTTCATTTACAAGTCTTTCACTTTGTATTTTATTACATAAACTAAGATGGTTGTCTATTTTAAACCGAGTATATACAATTTACAGTGACATCGCAATACACATTGATGGATATACTGACCCATTATTCGTGACCCTTCTATATATACCCCTCTCTACACATAGAGAGGAGAGATTACAAACAAGACTAACATTAGGAACCCTAATACCAAGGGATCTCATACGAAACCAATATAAACCTGAACTCATAAAAACCTGAACCTGTATAAATTCGAGCCCATATAAATCCAAACCGGCATAAGCAAAAACTCATATAAACCCTAACCGAAACCGAACCAAAATTAAAAAAATAAAATCAAATTAAATTCGGAACCAAACTGACCTGAATTGAACTGATCCGAACTGATCAAATAAAATCATATATATATATATATATATATATATATATATATATATATATATATATATATATATATATATATATATATATATATATATATATATATATATATATATATATATATATATATATATATAAAAGGGCCGGTTCATGCACCTTGGTGAAAGAAATAAGAATAAAATCTAGCCTTTGGATGTGATGCATCGTGCGGCTCAGATTGCATCATGCGCTCAGATTTTCAGATGGTGCATTTTCAAAGGATTTTGGTGCATTTCGACATGATACATTTTCAAACCATTTTGGTGTATCTAATTTTGATGCAATCCTGATCTTTGGATCTCACAATCTAAAACACCTGATTCATTCTTATTTCTTTCATAAGATAGCATTCTTTCCAGAACCTATATATATCTTATTATATATATGTATGTATATATATATATACACACACAAGAAATGGTTCTAGCTCGAATAGGAACTCATTGACGGGATTACGAGGTCTAATCGTAAGTACCCTAATAGTGAGTGACATGGCTATGTAAAGTGCAAAGCCAAGCGGATGGCTCTAAAACCATTTCGAGAAAGGATATGGTAGCAATACGATTGGCATGAACTTAATCATTTAAAAAGCAACCCATTACAACACACACTTAATTAGGTGATTCACACATTAGTTGTTCGCCAGCAAGATTAATGCTACGAAATTAAAACATTTTGAATTTGATGATATCTTATTCAAATCTTAATCTTAATTTTAAGAATGGACCGGAAATTACACTTCGGAAACAACGGTCGACAGCTATTCATCTCCGGTAGGAAACAGGGTAAGGATCTTCCTCCCGGCGGCCGCGCATTCCATATTCGACGGCGGCACGAAGACGGGGCCACTCCTATGTACGCGCTGCTGCTGCGGCGGCGGCGGCGGTGCATATGAATTCTCAAACTGCCCGTATTGAGGACGGAGCTGCCGGCCCCCGACGACGGAGACCGCCACAATCTGATGCTGCTGCATTGGGACGAAACGGTCGGTGTTAGGCGGCCTCCCCGCTGGGTTCAAAAAATGGGCCGGCACCGGCAAGCTCGCGAACAGGCGGTCCGTCGCGGGATCCTCTCCCGCCGCCGCGGAACTGTTTCCGCCGCCGCCCCCGCCGGACAAGCTCTGCATCCGCTTCAGATAAAGTCTGTACTTTTGGAGATGGCTGGCGACGTTCTCCCGAGTGAGACCGTCCACGCTCATCAGCTGCATTATAGTCTTGGGGACGGCGTTCTTGATCCCCAAGTGGGCCACCGCGTCCACGAATCTCTTGTGGAGCTGCGGGGTCCACACGAGGCGGGGCCGCTTGAGCGTGCGGGCAGGCTCGTCGGCCCCGCCCAGCTCTGTAGGGTCGAAATCCGCAGAGGAATTGGGTTGGGAGGAAGGGGTCGTCGGCGGCAACGGGGGCGGCGGAGGAAGGTGGCCGCCGCCGCAGCTGGCGGCGGCGTTCCGTATGTCGAAAGCGAGGGCTAAATGAGGAGTGATTAGTGACTGAGAAATGGGCATAAGCTCATCAGGAGAAGGGAGTTGGTCTTCCCATTTAGAAAACCAATTGGAATCCTCACCCATCATTTCTTGTAATTAATATCGCTGGGTGTGAATAAAAAATTCCAGTGTTTTTCGGTTCTGCGAGTCAAATTGATCGGAGGGCTCGCCGGAAAAAGAGAGTTTTGCGGTGGTGGGGGGGGAAGGGTGGGGGGGTCTTGGATCGAGGAGGATCTTGGTTTCTTCCTATCAGCTTTTATTACTCCGTATGTTAGTTAATTTTATACTGCTGCAGCGGATGGATGCCTTTCTTATGATTTTTAATGAAATTTTGTCTTTGTATGGAACAAAAGTGGTTGGCTGGTGCCCGGTGGCAATGACCACTAGATTTAGTATTTTACGGTTTCTACCCATCCATCCCAACGTTTAAAACAACACTCTTTACCTCTCAAAAATTTAAGAAATCAGACTAATAGCTTGTTCTTTAGTACTCGAAAAAAAGTTGGATGTTGGAAGAAACGGGAAAAAACTGGAAGAAACTGAAAGAAAAACTAGAAGAAACTCGAAAATTGAAAAGTCAACCAAAATTACACTTTCCTTATTTTTGCCACAAGTCAAAAGTGAAAGGGTTTAAAGGAATAGATGGAGTATAATATAAAGTTAGCATAAATATAAAACTATTAAATTTTAAAAAGTTTTTTTGGTTACATTGCACCTCAATTTATTTATGCAGTATTTATTGTAAATAATATATTTGTAATTATACTTTATATATTACAAGATTTTGTGTTAAATATCAAACATGTCACATAATGTAATCAAACCTATTTCTCCTTTCATTATAGACATTTTATTTTTATTGAAGTCCTATTTTTAGAATAAAGACATTTAACTTTTTTACATTTCTTATGTTTTACTCCTATTTTGGTCCTTTTCTCTAAATTATTTTGACTTACAATTTTTTTTATATAAAAATTAGAAAAATGAGAAAATTTTAAGTAATAAAGGGAAAGGTAAGAGGTCTTATATAAAGTTAGATTAATAAAACATTCTATGTCACTATTTTATCCATAATTTTTTAGGCAAAATTGACAAGAATACTCCCAAAAATTACATATTTTACATAAATACTCCCAAATTTGTTTATTTACATCATTACTCCCACATTTGTCTATTATTTACATCATTGCTTCCAAAATTGGTAGTCATCATTAGTGTTACTTGGATGCGTTTTTTTGCGCTAAGTGAACAGTTAAAATGCAAACATGTATTTTTTCACTCTAATATACCAAATTCACCTCAACTTATTCTCTCAATCAACTTTCTCACGTCTTAGTAAGCCTAATCATTGCCCTTATTTCCATCACTTTTTTAAAAAAATTCAGATTTCAAACTTCCTAAATCTTTTTAATGTTTAATATCAAGTCTGTTCATATTAATTTAATTTGAATTCAATAAAAAAAGATGAAGAACCCCGTTTAAAAAGACGCACCCGAGAAACACTGATGATGAAGCAATCGCAGAGTAACGACGTAAATAATAAACAAATGTGGGAGTAACAATGTAAATAAACAAATTTGGGAGTATTTATGTAAAATCTGTAATTTCTGAGAGTATTCTTGTAAATTTTTTAATATAGTTTAACATATTGATATTTTCCTGTTTTATCATGTAGATTAATATAAAAAAAATGTCTTATTCATATTAAAAAATTGAAGAAAAAGATAATAAGTAGGAATCGTAAAAATAGTGAGATGAAAAAAATTATAAAATAGTTATGAACATAACAATTGTAATAATAATAATAATAATAATAATAATAAATCGCATTAAAAATATATCATTTTTAGAGTAATTGGTTGGGAGTAGAAAGAGTTTGAAGAAAATGAGAATAGTTGGAAGAAACTGGAAAAAACTGGAAAAAATTGGAAGAACTAGAAGAAACTGGAAGTTAAGAGTTCAATCCCTAAAAAATAGTCTCTAAATAAGGTTATAATATATAGAAAGTACTAAAATAAGAGTTCCACGTTTTTATTTCTTAAATAGGAGTTCATACTTTGGTAATGTAGCATATTCATTTTACGTAAAGTACATGCTCATGATTGATAATGTAAATGTATTATAATTCTTATTTCGGGAATAAAAACAACGAACGTCTATTTTGGTATATTTTTAATATATTACTCCTCTTTAGTCTTTTTCCCAAAAAATTATCACAGTTTAACGTATTTTTAGTCAAATTCTATAATAATTTAATCATAAATTATAGAGAAAGTATATTTAGTTATAATATAAATTTAGTAAAGTTGGGTTGATTTTAAAATATAATTTTGATATATCAAGTTTTTATAACATTTAATCATTTAAAATTGTATTTAAGTTTTTGTCAAAGTGTTGCATATTTTGAAAAAAAAGTTATTTTTTGAGACAAAGGGAACCAAATTTCTATCTTGAGAGTAAATTTTTTCTCAATCTCAAGATAAATTTTTTAAATTAAAATATACGGTATTTAAAAATATATTTTTAGTTCAATTTATTTGAATAGCTGTGTGAAATTTTAAGCTATCAAAAGTTATTTTTCAAAAAAGGATGACATAATTATATTATCCTAACAAACGATTAAAACAAGTAAATGAAAGAAAAGGATATAATTGGATCACATGGATAATGAGTGTAAGTTTGTTTAAGGATAAAGGGAGTAAAAGTACATCGTACACTCACTATAATAGATTATTCTCTTTATCTGATTTGATTCGATCTGATATGATTTTATAATGTCTCATTTGATGGATATGATCTGATCTAATTTTTTTCATAGTTAAAGTTGTTACTTGTGCAATCTGATTTTAATACAAATAAATAATGAGTAATAAAAATAAGTTGAAGAGAACAGACTTTAAATAATTAACAAACGTTTCAGCCTTTTTTACCGTGCAATAATTGTATACGTAATGTGCATTCATTAGAATTAAGTGAGTGCGTATCTTAAATTCAGTTAACGATTTATTTCCCGGTATGTAGGTATCCATTGATGAATGATTATGCAGTACTGATGAAATTTTTTCCACAAAAGTATGACGTAATATTAAACGACAAAACACAAGAAATGTAGAGATATGAAACTATATATATATATATATATATATATATATATATATATATATATCATCTTTCTTAATGGTGCCTCCAGTAACCTCCAAAGATTCAGTAAGTTTCTCAAGTCCTATGAAGAGGTCTCAGGGCAAAGGATCAATCTTGAAAAAAGCAGTTTCTACCCTCCCCAAAACCTCACCCCTCAAAATCAAAAAGTGTTCAGATTTACTGGGCATGAATTTGGGCCATCAACCCTTTAAATATTTGGGAGTTCAAATTTTCAAAGGGATCAATAGAAGTCCTTACTGTAAGGACCTAATTGAGCATTTTGACAAAAAGCTTAAAGGATGGTATAGAAGACAACTCTCCCACAGCGGAAGGCTTATCCTCATCAAGCATGTCCTCAATTCCATCCCCCTTCACACCATTGCCATCAACAAAATCCCCAAATCTGTCATTAACCTCCTAAACAATAAAATGTGCACTTTTCTTTGGGGAGAAAACAATTCCAAAGAAAACTACCATTGGGCCTCCTGGGACAGAATCTGTGAGCCAGAAGATAGAGGTGGTCTGGGGGTTAGATCTTTGAGCAAGGTGCAAGAGGCCTACAGCCTCAAACTTTGGTGGACATACCATGCCAATAACACCCTTTGGAGTAAATTCATGAGAGCCAGATATCCTAGAATGAACAACTTCCAGCCCCAAATAATAGACTCAACAATTTGGAAAAGAATTTGTTCTGTTCATCCTACCGCTACTAACCATTTTTTTGCAGCTACTGAAGAATACTTGCAGTGGAGTACTCAACAGATCAAAGACCTCAGTTTCAAGGAAGCATTTAATATTATCCAGCTCCTGGAGGAAGAGGAACCAATCCTCCCACTCCAGATCATCTGGGAGTCCAAGCAGATTCCTAAAGTGGCCTTTTTCCAATGGAGATTATACCTCAACCTACTCCCATTCCCCACTACCCTCACTAAATTTGGCAATACTAGCCTCCCCTCCATTTGCCCTCTATGCTACAACAAC